TGTCTTTTTTGTGCAATATTTGAAATCCAGATATGTGTTCAAAAATATTTACATTCTCAAACCATCATATACACATACGCAGTACACACTTGAACATCTTGATATGTGTTCATCAAACACAGAAGTACAGAAAAAATGCAGATATAGTATGGAAATGACTATTTTCTCAACTTGTGCAGCTTCAGTCCTTTAAGGCTCGACACTGCATTAGGTATCACATCAGATTTGCTACAGGATATTCTCCAGTTGTTTGGGACAAAACAGCACCATAGCTAATATTAGTCAGGATTATTATACATCCCATTTACAAATTTTGTAGACAGAGTATACCAATATTTAGTCGAGATCTGTCCAAGAGAGGATGAAGAACAACAGACACCCGTTTGCTTCCAAAGCTATGTAACTTCATCTTCTGTCCAGTCCTCTATTCTTCTCTCTGTTCCTCTTCCTCGTTGTTTTTATGTGTTTCGGGGGTTACACTGCTGCTTTTTCCCCCTTGTCCTTCCTTTCCTTCTGCAGCAAGATGCAGCCAGTTTTCTCTGTTCTTCTTACAACCATTCATCAGTGGGGAGCAGGCGTCAAACAATCTTGACACAGCCTGACAGAGACAGGGACGATGTTTGGAGTGATGCAGAAGTGCATCAAGAGGTGCAAAGAGGTAGAGCAGAGGATCAGAGAACAGGACAACAATGAGTACAATATTGTGGTTTTCTTTGCCTTACAAACATGTACACGTGTGTGGATCATATCATCCACACACATTCAATGCCTGCAGAAATAACACACCTTGTAGAGTGGATAGCAGATGTCATCAATGTATTCAACTTGCATGCATGGCAGTCGAGTGCTGTTTTCTCTGTTCATTATGTCCTGGTGAGAAGAGAGTGTAAACTGTTAGAATATGACTATTTAGGAGGTCAGATCGATTGTAGTTGATCTAGTCAAACAGTATTATTTTTTGGTTCTCAAAGTGCTGCCAGAGAAGCAATAACAGCCCTTTGTGCAGTTTGTATAAAGACCCTGTGGGATGAAACACTGCATAAAAAAACACCCATGATGCCACTGTGACTAAAGCAGACATTCCCCTTGGAAGACAAACAAATCAATGTGTTTGAATAGTAAAAAGATAACTATGTGCTTTTCGTAATTCCTTCTCTACTGTTATTAAGGTTTGTGATGCTATTTCGAGCAAAGAACAAGAAGAATGAATCCAAGGAGGATTAAAACATTCCTGAAGGACTTAACACGAAAAAAAAAGCTGCATCAGGGAGCTAAAGTCAGCCTCTCAGGATGAACGTGATTCTTACTTTTCCATACAGAAGAGTGTAAATATATATATATATATATTTGAGATAAATAACATGATTAGCAGCCTCCCCAATTAATCAAACTAGCCAGTCAACAATTTTTTGAGAACCCTTGGTACACTATAAAATGTCAAAATCGTGCCATCAGGACTTACAATGGGTTTGATTTTGAACTCTTTTCTCTCTTTGTCCCCTTGTGCAAAGAACTCCATGGCAACCAGGTTGGCAATCTGTTTTGGAGGAGGAGTGAGGTTAAGGTTGTGATGAGCTTAAAATGACTGAGTGATTAAGCGTGACGTGTTTAGATGAAAACCATTTTGTGAGACCTACCCTTTTTTGTTCGGGCCAAGGCTTTGTGATGGCAGAGAGGTCACTAGCTGTCATCAACATAGACCTTCGGGGTGAACACATGTCTTAAATGAACAGCCACGTGCCCCATTCTATCATAAATATCATTATCTTATGTCCCTGATGTTAATGTATTTTGATTCTCACCTCAGTAAATCTCTTTTTTTCTCACTCTTCCAGCTCACTCTGCTTTTCTTAGTGAGAGAAAAGAACTCTTTTCTTCTCCTACAAAGACAAGCACAAAGAACAACGGTACAACAAGGCATACTCAGTGCTTGACCTACAGCTACTTTGACATTTTACATCTTAACATACTCCATGTAGACGGTCAGGTCAGTGGCGAGGATTGCCCTTTTGATCATGTGTAGTACCACTCTGTGGTCTTCTGAAGAGAGACCACTGAGAATTTGACTCCCCTGGGAGAGGAAGAGAGAGACAGCAACCGAGTATGAGAGTGAAGTAAATGGAAGACTCTCAGTGACCACTGGATACATGCCGTCAGAAAACAATTTCCACACTTTGTCTCAGATAAAATAGAATAATCACCCCTTTAGTGGAGACTAGGCAACATTTCTCTTGTAGAGTATCTGGTGACATTTCAGCTTTTGCATAGTATGCCATTTTTGAAGAAACATAAGAATCACATTTTTATAAGTATTATAATTCTAAAACAATGAATTAATATCCATAACATAGATCAACAAATATATCAATATCATGTCATTTATTTTTTTGCTATGACACTATGTGAGCATGTGTGTCATGCAAAGTGTAATATAAAATGAATTAAATGAAAGAGAAAGACTGAAACAAGTACATGTACATCTAAGTGTGATGATTGAAGAAAAACACATTATGGTTTGTGGTTGTATTAGATGAAACATGTATCAGGGACAGCACGTGGATACACCGATGATTGTGTGGATTGATGGTTGAGAAAGAGATGGGTCAAAATTAATGGAAAAATGAGTGGGTGAGGCCTTACAGTGTTGTTTAGGATGAAGAGGCACAGGTTGTAGTGGTGATTTTCTAGAGAAGAATGTCCATACAGTTGAGCTAAAGGCTGTTGACTCCTGAGAGAGGGGGATAAATGATTATTTATAAATTAATAACTGAATATAATAAAGCAGTGACTGACAATTGATTGTATAACCAGTAATACGTATTTACCTTTCTATGTAAGAGTTACTGACTCCTCTGTGATCAAGATCATGATTCAGAGTGGCTATCATCAAAGCTAATATCTCCAGACGGGAAAATATTGTCTGAAATACAAACAGAAAGAGATGGACAGAGAGAAATAGAAATAGACTTAAGTAGTGTTTTACATTTTGCAGTTTTCACATTTAAATCAATCAGTCAAGGGAACAAGGCACATTTTCACTATCTGTTTTTTTGTGTAACATTATTGCTCTTGAATGAAGGACAAAAAAAAATACATTTCACAGAGATTCTGTACTAGTAAAGTTATGTAAAGCATATTTATATTGTGCCTTCTATGAATGAACATGAAAAAGTATATATATATATATAATTGTGTGTTGTAATTTCAAGTTTGTGATAAAAATGTCTTATGTAAGTTGGCATGGATGCTGATGTGTTAATAATGGTCCATTTTCTAGTCAAAAGTTACACCAAATATCTTAGACCATGTTGATAAAGGAGATAACTCAACAATAAAAGCTGATGTATGGTTGAAATGAAATATACGATCCTAAAGACCATTAAAAGGTATTAAAGCGTAAAAGTAAAAATTAATGCTGATTTAATACAATGTTTTAAAATCTTTGTTCTGCAGGACAAGGCCATATCAGATCTGACTGATTGACCCAAAGAATTGACCCAAACAGCTAGCCAAACCAATAAACACTATGGCATTAATACAATTTGCATGAAAACATATAAATCAAAGAAATGACAGAAACACCAAAGTGTACAGTGTACTTATTGTCATCGAGAGAGAGAGAGAGAGGGAGGGAGAAAGTGAGAGAGTGAGAGAGAGAGAGAGAGAGAGAGAGAGAGAGAGAGCAAAGGTCACTTTGATTTAGTCCAGTCCGTGATCTCCACGGAAAGAAGTTAAGAGGGTTTTGGAGAGGTCTAAAGTGAATCCTCTTTCAAATAATTAAGAATGCTTTGTACCGGAGAAACCATGCAGTCCTTGAATGACTTCCTGACAAACTTTAAACAAGCTGAACTTAAAACTGATGAAACTCAGTAGACATTTATCAGCATAATGCAACTGTCAAGACATAACAGTTCCACATAGTCGACAGGCAACAAAATGATAATGAAAAAAGATGATTTCCAAGGCACATGTCACATTTTCCTGACTGTATTTAATTAGACAAATGAGCAATTTGATACATCACATGGTCAGTCAGCACTACATTTGCTCAGTGTCCACTATAGGACTGCTCTGCTGATGTGGAGGAAAAGACTTATTTCAGAGCAGCCCTTTTGACATGATTGTAGACTAAACACAGGTGTTACAGATGTTACTAATTAAGGTTTTGTTCCATTCAGGTCAAAGAGGGTGCTGCTATTGCATATTGGCTCACTGAAAATGCTCTGCTACACTAAATAGAACATAACCTTAATTAGTATCATTGATAACACCTGTGTTTACCGTATTATTTCATGTCAAAATGACCGCTGTTCTCTTGGCAGGATAGGCATGTCAAACCACAAATAAGCTCTCCATGTCTGAGTTGCTTTATATGGAAAATAAAAAGGTGGTTAGTCTCGTGCTCACTTTGCTGTCTGATGTATCACTTAACCCACTCTCTTTCTGGTCATCTTACAATAATCAGGAATCATGAATATCACTTTGTAACAAAAAGTCAGCGTGCCAAGGTACAGAATCGTATTGCTGCCACGTCAGAAAAATAAAAACTGATCACTGATTATTGTTAGAATAACATTGCAATAACGTTAAAACTTTTCTTGTTATAACAATATACCATTTATATTGCTAGAACGTTAAACATGATAACATATATCACATTCACATTCACAACACTTATCACATTATGACAATATATATTAAAGGGTTAAACTTAAAACGTATTATTTTATAACAATTGTGTTATAAAATGTTTCAGGTTATAACAAGACAACTAGCATGTTGTTATAATATATAATATAATATAATAATATCTCATGATACTGATCCGTTTTTCTTTTTCTGGCATGGCAGCAATACACTGCTGTACAAAGGTTTAGGATGCAAAATATTTCCATGAGACGTTCTGAAACATGCTAGTTTGGCACACTCAAAAAACTTTGAGTGTGCCAAACTAGCATATCTTTGCATATTTGAGTTTTGGTAGTGACATCTATTGTACATGTACATGACCAAAAAACACATGTACTGACCTGGAGTTGGTCTGTGGCCATTAGCATAGCAAACATGCTTTGAGCAGTGCTCAGTGCATGGTTCCAGTTGTGATAAGGCACGCTGTTCCTGTAACCACGTCTCACAGTGAGGACCCACTGACAGAGATTCTGGAGGAAAGAGACATGTACAAGAGGTGGTCAAATCTGAAGAAAGATCAAAGATGGATTGATATCAGTAACACTCTTGGGGGTAAACTAAACCTCATCATATGTCCCATGCAATAACAAAATATTAACAACTAAAAAACCCCAAAATGTTGAAAAAAACAAACAAGTTTATGTTTGCCATTTTCATTTGGTAATCTCAGTGTGTAGATATATGAAGAGCAATATAAAGTTTCCATGAAGCGTAACTATTAGCAGGTCAGTTACCTTATAATCAATGTTAAAATCCTGCACTAAATTGAGGTCCAGAAACATACGAATGGTGGCCTGAGTGGTCAGGTCTTCTGGCAGACCAAAATCAGAGAAATGGAAGTCTAGAATGAACAGTGATTCGGCAGAAGGAATAGTGGCCTCCTGAAAACAGAAAACAAAATGAAACACACACTTAAAGGCACAGAACATTCATCCACCCACAAACACAACTGAAAACATGTGATTTCTTTTTCTACCTCTTGCCCACACAGCATACTATACTGTTTAAGGCTGGTGAGGATGTTAGCATCACCTTTGCCACTCACAGACAGCTGATAGCAGCTAATCAAGAGCTTTAAAATGTTAAAGCCTGTTAATCTGACCTGCAGAAAAATAAACTAAGGACTAAATCCAGGACAACACATGGGGTGATAATACAGCAGGGAGAGCAAAGATCTTATTCAAGATCACTTATTATTTATATGTCTGATATTACACAGTGAGGCCAGGAGCTGAAGGCTAGACTGGACTGCAAGAAAGTTGAGAATCACCTGCAATGCTTGGATTTCCTGCTCTGCTGCTGTGATGTGGTAGGCAAGAACCTGTGAGAAGAAGAGTGAACACACATACCAGTGACATTTGAAGTTGCAAAAACAGGTTTGCTTAGCGCTAGGCTTAAGATGTGAGTGGATTTATAGGGTTACCCACCTCCTGTGTGACCTCTATACTGGCCCTCCGCTCCTCAGTGATCTGCACAGCCTGGGCATACTGCAGAGCCAGGCCGCAGTACACAGCCAGGTCCTCTAGTAGGCGCTCATCATATCTGTTAAAAGCTTCCACCTCATCTGAGTCCCTGCTTCTTTTGTTCATCAGCTGGCACACCGCTATTTTTGACAATAAAGAAATGAAAACTGTATCTGTATGTATTTTTCCAACACATGATCTAGTAGATTTTAATTAAACCCTTAAGTAATAATCTTAATCACACTGCCAGCAAACAGCTGACTTCCTTTTCCAGGTAGTCAACACTTGTATGTTTAGTGCGCCAAGCACGGATGACTGTAGAGTGAAACCTATAGAGATTGTGATGATACTACAAGTACCCAGAGTGATGAATAATTGCCAGAAGAGACTTACCAATAACATCTTCAGACCTCTCATTTCTCACAGGGCAGCAGATCAGACTCCTCATCGGTTCCCCAGAACTCTCCGACATATTTAGGGTTTCCATAGCAAGCAGAGTTCGAAGGGCATACGACGGGTCTAGATCACTGATGTCACGCTCTCTGAAAAATTGTATGGAACCGTTTACACATAATTTCGGTTGATGTATACGAGCAAGACTTTGAATGTACATAATAAATAAGCAACGTGCAGTCACAACCTTCTGTAGATCTGGCAAGTTGATCCGAGCTCCTCACACTCCAGGTGGATCACTCTAGAGAATGAAACCTGAAACCACCACAGTAAAAAAAAACACTGTACATTAGGAAAAATACAATTTGATTTTGAATTTTTAAAACAACAACAAAAAAAAGGATCAAACAGGATAATGCACCTCGTCTTCCACAACCGTTTGCTCGCCAGGGATGAAGATGGTGCAGTACTGAGCATGTGTGAATGGCATGATGGTGGCAGCCATCTTACTCAGCAGAACTTCAAAGGACCGGTGCTCTTTTGACAATACCTGTGCCATCTCTATCAAAGCCTGACACACACACACACAC